TGTTTTTTAGTGAATACTTTACTGATTCGTAGAGACACGAGTCCACATTATCGTATCACCATGACGCCGAACCAAAATGGAAGGAGATTAATTCTATTTTCAACTCGAAAACGGGTGATGTTGCTGGCAATAATAAAAAGAGGGAGGTCAATTACGATGAATTTGAAACACCTGAATGCCCAAGCAAGATGAATTTGCTTTACTCCCAAATAAATGTTTGTAGTTACACTATTTATAATTTTGATTTCACGAAATTTGGGTGACGTTTTTATTGCTTTAAAATAATTGATTGTTATTTTCAATTTGTGTTTTAAGTAATGGAAAAAATATGTTATACATTCAAATGTCATAATTTATATCTTGTAAATTCTACAAATTTTCAAGCATTAAAATTGAGTAGTAGCTACAAACTACCTGAAAATTTTGAGGTGCTTGTTGGCTAGGAAATTATCAAGTAAAATCTATATATTGCAGTAGCTACAAACTATCCAAAAATTTAAGGTGTTTGTATCCTATGATATTTTAAAGCAATAGAATGTTGCTGTTACGTGGTAATTTGAGCAAGAAAACATAGTTTGAGAATTAAGAAGAAATCGAGAAATATAAATTAGGAGGAGAATTAGAAGAATAATTAGAAAGGGGAATTAAGAGAAGACAACAGGAAATTAATTGATTCTTAAACTTCATAATACTTTTCATTCTTGCTAATAGTCCATTTATAGGACAATTCATAGCCCATAAACTAACCCATATATAAACCCCACTAAAAAATGCATTAACGTGACATTAAAACATGAAGTAACAGCCTATTTCTATGGAAATGATTAACTAAAATTGAACTACCCACTAACTAATTAATTTGACTAATTCTTTCTACTAATTTAATAATTATACGTATCAGTTGCAGTAGCTAAAATCTACCAAATATCTTGAGTCATATTACATAGAATTTATAATGTCTACCACAAAATGAAATTAAAGAAGAATCATAATGTCTCAAATGCAAATAACGTGGCAAGATGGTGTCTGATTACGGAAAATTTGGTTGTTTCGTTGTGATTAAATGGTATATTAGTTGCCGAAGTAGCGGCCTTCGAGAATCATTCGAACCATCACCAAAGTTTCAATATTTTGCAGGCTACCTTACAGTTTTATGGAGCTTAAAAAAATAAATAATTTCATTTCACCAAGAACTAACCTACAGTGGTGGAAAATCAGACACGATATTTGGGAACTAACCTGACAACGAAAATGGTGCAGTTATATCGCCGGAAGTTGTCGATTACGTCCGCGTTGTCCAGTTTATTCCGGAATTGGGGGCCCTAACAAAACATAAACGACTCATTAGACAAGGTAGATCAATCGATTAACTAAAAACCATTGCAGTATAAAAAAAATCAATCCACACAATCGAGAAACGAAGCGGAATTAAGATCCACGGTGGTGATAATGGCGCATACAGTATTTTTTTCTAGGGCATCAGCCATCAAAATGGGGGGAGGGGTGATTGATATTTATATGTGGTAGTCTTGTAAATACATAAAATAAGTCAGGAAAAAATAGTTTAAAAAAAAAAAAAAAAAAAAACATGGTGGGTTGGGCTGATTGGTGGACGGGATTAGCCAATCTCACCTCACTCGACCTGATAGGAGATTTGCCATTTGCTTGATCTATACTCGGGTCCAAGATCAAGCCCGGACCCGGTTGCGTTGAACCAATTCCAAAATCCAAATAGATCAGAGGAACAATCCACCCAGACCAGCCCAACCAAATGAGGCCTCAACAACTATAACCTAGATACTTAAAATGTGGTATTCACCTGCTCTAGATTATTGTAATTAAACAACCATGATTCAACCATTTAAAATTTTTGCCATTCAACTCATTTATGCTATCATAATTAACAACTACACTCCATTCATCTTTTTTTTTTTTGCCATTAGTTTTGATCCGGCCAGATTTAGCACGACTCAACAAGGCAAGATCCAACTAAATTGGCTCAGGTCCTGTTGAAATGGGCCCTTTCCCAAAGAAGGAAATAAAGCCACATGGGATAGGCGCGAGCATGAAATGATCCGAGTAAGCCAAGATTTCCTGCGAGTAGGGAACAAAGAATAATTTACGAGACAACCGACGACGAGCATACAATAATTGACGAGAAGACTGACGACGAGCATACAATAATTGACGAGACGACCGACGACGAGCATAGAGTTATAGACAAGACGATCGAAGACGAGTAGAGGGTAATTGACGAGACTAGCGAAAGGTAGCAAGTGCCATTTCATGACTTAGGCACAAAGGTTGGAAAAATATCATGAACTTGAACTAACCCTATCAATTGAATTGAATAAACTCAATGAAATGCACAAATATCTGTTAAATTTCTCTTCGTCAGGCACGACAATGGGAACAAGATACAACAATATGCACTTCTCCGCTCTCTCTTTATTTTACCGGATATATTACCTAAATCGGAGAGGTGTTCTGACTAGAGCGTTGGAGTGCTAACGCCAAGGGTACCTCTCCCGTTCCTTTTGCAGGTTAGACGAAAAGCATGTCCTAGAAGAAATAGATTCATTGATATTTGTTGACCTCTTGAGGGGATCGGAGGATTTGTTATCGCCTTTGATAGAACCAAGAATTGATGATTCAGCCCGATCGTATTCTGATATAAGTCGAGAGTGTTGTAGGTATGTGTTGGTTGTAATACCTACACGCAAGTGCACGTATCGTACAAGTAATATAATGGACAATTAAGTCCGGATATCGAACCCACAGGGAATATTTAATTATTTAATCCTAGACGCCAAATCCTACCAATTATTATCAAGCCCACCCTACACAGTCGAATTTGGAGAGAATTAACTAAATTAAACTAAATTAAAAAATAAATTAAAAAGACAAGAGCACGAAAGCAATTAAAGCTAAGGTTAAATCAGAGTAAACAAGCCTAGAATTTTATTATTCCCCTCTGTGATTATTACTCCCCCAATTCCTTCAATTATGCAAGCAATTAACCCGAATTATTTACCTGAGATGCTAAAATAATCATAACCCACTTCCGCGTGTATTACGAATTCTAATACTCTAGATTCATAAATCTCACATAGGGTTCAAAATAAAATCCTAGAAATAAAAAAACTTAGCTACTCATGATTAATGGAAAAACACAAATAAAATAAGTCATAAACGATAAATCTATGCTTAGAGTCTTCGAATTCTTCGTTATTGCTTTGTTGCTCTTGAAATTGCGTAAAAAAATCCCAATTGTGTGCTTGGTTTGGTCTTATATAGGGTGAAAAACTTGGGGAAAGAAGACAGTTTTCTTGTGCAATTAAAATCCCTTTACTGCGCTGCCACGTGGTCTCGCACGCCCGTCCCACAATTTGAACTAAAACTCGGACGGCCGTCCGAGCTTTAAATCTTCATATTTTGATTTTTATCACTTTTGGCCCATATTTTCTCCAAAATTGCAGTTTTTACCCCATACTTTTCCAATTCTTCAATTTGTACCTAAAATACAATAAATCAACTTTTTAAGCACCAATTATCGTTAAAAGACACCAAAAGCTCAAATAAAAAGGTACGATAAAGTGTAAAAATATACACTTAACAGTATGTGCAATTCCCATACCCTCCAAAGAGCTTCAAACGTATTTTGTATAAAATATAATTCGGTCGGATCAAGTTCTTTTGTACAATTATATATTTTCCTTATATATCTATGATAAAAAATATATATATAAAAATTGGGTTTTCTGTATATATATATATATATATATATATATATATATATATATATATATATATATATATATATATATATAGTTGTGAAAATTACAGCATTTAAATAAAAATTGGCAAAGATTTCAAAATTATTGAAGTAAAACGTTAATTTCAATAAATATTTTAATCATATGATAAAACATAAAACTAAAATCATATCAATGTAATATAGAATTACGAGTCCAGTTTCATGTTAACAAGTGAACCAAATACTTTTTAAAACTTTAAATCTTAACAAATGTTGCTTATAATTTAAATCCTGAGAAATAAGAGGTAATTGCACAGACCCCCCTGTGTAATCTCGAATGGCCGAAAAAGCCCTCGTGTAAAAATAATTAGCAAGAGACCCCCTATGTTATCATTTACAATGCACACTGCCCCTTATCCCATTTTGTTGCCGTTGACTTGGATAAAATGACCAAAATATCCTTAATTAAAAATTAAAAAAATACCCAACCTATAAAAAATGTTAAAATTGAAGCACTGTTCATCTTCCTCATCTTCCCGTCAAACCACGCCCCGCCCCCAGCACACCCACCTACCCACCAACACCCAAACCCAGACAACTCTCTATCACAGTCACCGCCACCGTCCACCAGCCATTGAAATCGCCCCCACACTGCATCTCAAAGTTTTGCAATTTACCGACGGATATTGCATCTCAAAGCTTGCAAGTTACTAATGGAGATTCACATCTCAAAGCTCTGCAAATTACCTACATAATTCGAATAGCTCTGCAAATCATTCCCTGCCAGCTTCGAAACAACGTGGTTTTAGAGATTCAGGTTCTGGTCGGGGGTGAGCCCGACGATACCATTTCGGAGGTAGAAATTGAGATTGATGTTTTTCGATGATTTAGATGTTGGAGGGACATTTTTTATTCAATTTGGGAAGATGGATGTTTTGAACATGCTAAGGATTGAATTGAAATTTTTGAATTTTCTGGGTTAAATTTTTTTGGGGTGAATATATAATTTTTGAAACTTATTTGTAAGAGCATTTAGGTATTTTGGGTAAAAAATAAACACCCAGTCGCGCAATTCGCGCGTGCAGCACATGATAGGCTGTTAGAGGGTTTTTTGGCTTTGACTAATTTTTATAGGGGGGATTTTGCTAATTTTTTTAATACAGGGATTTTTTTGACCATTCGAAATTACACAAGGGTGGATTTTGCAAAAAAACCGTGAAATAATTAAGACGGTGGAGCAAGATTTGCAGCATAAGTTTGCAGTTTGACTGCGTCGGTCAATAAAATGAATAAAAGAATAGTACAATTTATATACATTGAATCTCTACACAACATATAAAACTCATTTGATCAATTGGAACAAATTGTAGATGACCACACCAATTGAAGTTGGCAAACTCAATGCAATAAGTGCAATCATGCCCAAAACCAGGCTAGGCCTAGTCTCCATCAAATATGTTTGCAAGTGCCCCATTGCGTCGCATATAATCGTATCGTAACTAGCGTAGAATCGCCTCTCCCAATCCATCCATTCCCTCGGAGGCTCGTAATTCTTCTCGCTCATATTCATCTCGTGAATCCTCATGCGAAGAACGATTAAGTTCTCGTCCACTAGCCTCCCGTTGAAGTTGTGACGATTGTGGGCCTGATCTCTTTTCGACGCGCGTATTTTTGTTCTGTTTGAGCTTGGTTTGATTGACATTCGGGTCTTCGAAAACGGGTCGAAAGATTGAACGAATGGCGAATACAAGGAAGAAGTTGATGCCATTTTTTTTTTGGTGTATTTTGGAATTAATTAAATTTGGGGAAATTATAATTGATGATTGAAATGAAGTGATGGAAAAATGGGTTTGTAGAGGTGGGGTATTTATAATAAATTTAAAATTAATAATATGAAATGAAATTAAGGAATGGAGTATTGTGAAAGTTCCCAAAGACTTAGGCAACAAGATACGTGTGGGAAAAGCGTGTGGTGTTATTATTGCTAACTAGCCGCCCCTGCAGTAGGGCTAAAAGCGCGTTTTTTAATTAGCAATTTAAAGCTCAAAATCCGGAGAAAGCGACACATATAAAATGCTCTAACAAGAGATTACTTTTACGCTAATTCTTTAGGTGGGGACAAAAGTCTTTGCTTTTCAATAATTGTCTCCTTGAATAAGCAATTAAGAAGTTTATCTAGTAGCCGTACGTTTGGTTTATTTTTGAATAATTCTTTATGTTCTTTTAATTATTTAAAATTAAATTTGTTAAAATATTGGTTTAGTCATTTTCAATATAAATATGTTTAATTATATATTACTATTAGAGATCCACGAAGATTGTAATGGAACATATAATATAGCGAAAATATTTGGAGTAATAAAATTTCTAATATATGAAAACAACGAGTTTGAAAATAAAAGCAAAAGGTGCATGCATGGGACACGTGGCACAATGTGCCGTTTGTCAGTTAATAGAAGGTACGTGGTGGTTTGGATATGGGAATTGGATTCTAATATTTGACTTCGTTTGGGTCGGCGGATTGTTTAATCTAAGGATCTTCGATCTCTCAATCCCTATTTTGTTTTGCTGGCAAATTATATATGTAATATTCCAAAGTCATTTTTTTAATATTATTAGATATAAATTCTTAATTCAGATGAATACGGTTCCTAATCTAATACGTGTACTTAATCTTGAGAATTCAATCAATGCTACTGTTTGTCGAAAACCCATACGCAAGTTTATGTATTGTAACAAGTAGTAAAGTGGACTCAAAAGAGTCGGATGTCGAATCTCCGAATATTCAACTATATAATTCTAAGTACTAAATTCTCAGAACTACGATCTTATCTAGTCAAATCAAATTGAGGTTTTTAATTAAAGCTAGTTAACTAAATTAATTACGAAAACAAATTAAATACGAAATTTTATAAAATAAAACAAACCTAGTATCACCTAATATTCCTCAATTCTACATGCAAATAATTCCGATTATTAACTTGAAATTTTGAATTAATTATAACCTGCTTTCGCGGGATTACAATTATAATATTCCAAATCAAATCATTGTATTCCTACACGCAATCAATTAAGAATAATCATTAAACACAAATCTTAATATTGGTTACCTAGATAGTTATATCTCTACAATACCACATGCAATTAACACTAATACGGTGAAAACGACTCGAATATTCTTCTACTTAACGTCTAATTATTAAAATAGATCTTCCGATTCAACTCCAATAATCATAAATTAGTTATTTTTATGTACATTCAAACAAATCAAGTAGAAGAAATAATGAAATTAAAGACTTGCATAAATAGAAAACAATTGGATTCACAAATCCCAAATAGAGTTTGAAAAAAATCTTAGAATGAAAAATTTAGTTTACGAAAAAAATCAAAATAAAAAGAGGAAAGGAATAAAAAGTTGCGGTGGAAGTTCATCATGTTCTCGCCTTGCTTGTACACAATATTCTCTTTTTGGGGTTTAAAATGCGTGTTTTTTGTGTAGAGACTTATTGCTTTTATAAGTCTTTTTTTATAAGGAAATAGTAGATCGTACCTTTTTCCATGATCTTTTATCCGATTTTGACTATGTTATAGTCCGAATTGTGAAAAATTGTATGGGATAAGAGTCGTAGCCAATGCCGCTAAAATCAAGTTATTTGGAGTTCGAATAAGAGAGATATGATAGAAATCGTAGACACGGCTAAAGGTGTTGCGAGATTATTTCTTCCAAATTTGATCTTATTTCGTGATTTGCATTTTTTCCTTTATTTTCGAGATTTTGTTCCCTCATGGATATCTAGTTCTCATTTTGCACCTATAAAATACAAAAATTGTCAATTAAAACACTAATATAAAATTAGGGAAAATTTCACTTTCCCCCCTTGTACTTTGACTCGATATCACTTTACTCTATTCTCAATTGCATCGATTTGCCCCATGTACTTGAAAATTTGTCTTACTGTGGCCCCCGCCGTTTTCAAACTTTTGACCCTAACACTGTTTGATCTATGTATATGAAAATTACAAAAACACCACCCATCCCAGTATAAATATTTATTAAAAAAAATTAAAAATAAATTGTGGCTGGCGTAGTGGACTATGTTTTCTCGTTCTCTTGATTTTTTTATTATTTTTTTTATTTTTTAATTATTATTTAAACTGGGAGGGGTGGTTTTGTAATTTTCAGACTTAGATCAAACGGTATTAATGTCAAAGGTCTGAAAACTAATGGCGAGGGCCACATTGAGATATTTTTTCAAGTACAGAGGGGTAAATCGATGCAATTGAAAATAGAATGTGATATCGAGCCAAAGTATAAGAGAGAAAGTGGAATTTACCCTATAAAATTAACCCCAACATAAATCCTAGTAAAAGTAACACGTATTGAGTGTAATTTTCTAACTCAACAGCTACATTCAGAGAATTTCATCAGCTTAGTACTTATTTTTCTTATCACGTTTAAATAAAATTACTTAATTAGACTCGTCATCTTATTCGAGTGAACTCGTTTGTCGTGTGCTCTATTTGGTTCGAATCCGGTGAACATGTCTCTCTGTAGTTATACTAGTTAGTACCGGTGAACCTGGTGAACATGTCTCTCTCTTGCATAATAAGTATCTAAAAGTCTACTATTAAAGTGAATGATTAACATAATTATCAAAAAAAAAAAAAAATGAATCATTAACATTAAATCTGAATGAAACCTATGTACAAATAAAAAACTAAAATGCGCTACAAAGATATCTATATACAATCTACATAAAAATACTGAGCAAATATGTTAACACTAGCGCGACTGATGTTGATGCGCTAAATATGAAAAGAGCCACCACCGCGAAAACGAAGCTCGGCCGAGTATTCATCAGCAGATTCTGCAACAACCCTATTGCTTCA